CGCGGACGCACGACAACGAGGAGTACCGCCCCGGGGACCCCGTCGTCCTGGTGCGCCTCTTCGACCGCACGGGCGCGGACACGCGCCGCTTCACCGTCCGCATCTACCGCGCGAACGGCAGGAGCGTTCTCCGAAAGCTCGACTCGGGCGACGGCCGCGAGGACCAGCCCGTCGTCGGCGGCACCACCGCCGTCGCGCCACGCGCGACGTACACGATCACCTCGGCCGCCGAGCGCGCGATCACGACCGCGGCGGCGCACTGAGTCCGCTTTTCGCGCGCGTTTCGCCCGCGGGCGTCGTTTCGCGCGCGCGCGCCACACCACCGACGCCGTCCCATCCGAGCCCCTGGCCGACGCCGTCCCTCGCGGACGTCCCCGGACTGGGGCGGACGCGTCGTGACCGCCCCCGGGACCACCCGGTATCGTTAGCAATTGTTTCGTACTTCTGGGGGGGGTCGACCGTGGTCAGAGCCAGCTTTGGTTGACAAATTAAAGCGGACACTTTTGTGCACCCGCCTGCGGGCCGACCTTGCCCCGCTCGGAGAGCGGTTCAAGAGACCTTGAACCGAGCGCGCGCGCTTGGCCGGGGGTCCGCAGGCGGGTGACTTTTGTGTAATCGAAGTACACAGCTCGCTCGCCATGCTCGAGGCCTTCGACGCACCCGACAGCAAGATCGCCGGCGCAATCCTCCTGTACTAGCATTGAATAGTGGATGCGCTCAAATTATTTTAGTTGATCGCGGCGTGTGTACGTCACACAGCATGAATGTTCCAAGAGCGCAGCTCGCGCAGTCGAACGGGATACAGTTACGCAATGCAGCAAAGAAGGTCATCGATGAGGTGAATAATCTACGCCTGTGGCGCGGGCTTGAAACGAGTGAGATCGATGGCACTGCGTGCTGGAGAGAGATCGGGCGTCGTTGGCTGCCAGCACTTTTAGGCGTGCTTGATGCGCTGCGTGCGGCTCGTCAAACTAGTCCTATTGGTGTTGACAGTCACCACCCGCCCCCCGCACCTCGGGATACGCTGTCGTTACAAGAGCTAACGGCTATTTATACAGCCCTGGAGCTAGTGGCGATGTGGGGCGTGGCCCCACTAGTAGTCGATGGCGTGCGACCTATAGAACGGACGTACTCACGGGCGGTACAGATCCCCGACGCAGTGCGGAGGTGGGGCTTACGGAATGCGGCAGCCGCGCGGGAACTATGGGAGATGACGTGCGTGCTGGACCGCGCAAACGTGCTACAGCTCGTTTCGGACATACTTCTTGAGATCATTTCTTCAGGCCCGTTGGCCCCTATTGCAAGTCGGTTTGCGGTCGATGCTCTGGCTGCGTGCCTTTCTGCGCGTGAGCTCCGAAACAGCAATGTAACAAGTCTTTACCTCGATCGGATCCCGCTTCCATGGGCGTGTGTGGCCATACGGGAATTGCTCGGTGGTTTTCAAGAGGAAACAGAAACAGTGGTTCCGGCGCCTAGCTGGTGTCGTAGATACTGTGGGATTCTACTTGGAAACGTGACGAAACGAAGCGTGGACTGCATTCTCAAAGAGTTTGCTGGCGTGTCTTCGGTGCACCAATCAAATTATTGAATCTCTATCGAATTCACTTCGATTTTTTAGCAGTTTCAATCGATGTCTGCTAGGTCTGGATGAATTATCGGCATGTCAGTCAGCTGGGGCTGGGAGAGCAGAGAGTAGGGTCGCCGCAGCAGTTGCTGCTTCACCATTAGGTGGAGACGCCACATTTTATGCGCGTGCTGTTGCTCCTCAACTCGCCTCACTGCTGATTTTGAACACGAGGAAAAATCAGGTCAACTTTCCAGAGCTAGTGGCACAGAGTCGTGTTGCTCTGGACGCACTCACTCAGCTCCACGAGCGGGGATTTTCAAAGATGGTAATTGCGTCGCTACTCGGACAATTTGGGGGTGTTACGGATGAAACTGGAGTAGCTCGGGGACTTTGTATTCTTAGATCGCTCTCGCAACACGCTCTACCAGGCTTTTGGGGGAAACTATCATTAGATTCCAAGCTCCTCGAGTACCTCATTTGCCTCGTCAACTTCGCACAGAACTCCAACAGAAAGGTATGTGCTACGGACGTGGCACTGATACTGAGATATGTTTTACAGTCATCGATTAATCCCGAAGCGTTGATTTTTGACGCGATAACCAGGCCACGGACAATACGCTTTGAGTCTGGGCTGCAAGAAGGGATCGTTGCCGTCGAAAGTAACGAGATTCAGGACATTGACGTCACCATTCTGATCGAAGCATTGGATAGTCCAAAGCTCTCAAGTTCTCTTTTGGCCTTATGTTTGTACAAGTTCCTCGAGTGGCGGCGACAGAGACAAGCTTCTGACCTTTCGCGCATTCGTCCAACGCTTAAACTTGCGGCTGATCTCTCGACGCAGCTTGACACGGGTACTATGTTTGCGCCCGGTGCAGATCTCATTAGGACACTAGGTCTTCTGCTGTCTAGTGCCGCTGACCGCCACACTTCCTCTTCCAAACTTGAGCCCAGCGTGGATGATGAGGAAGATAATTACTCTCTGGAATCGGTGTCGGTGGGCACATTACGAAGTATCCTAGAATTTTGCATCCAGGAGCGCAACATAGAAAACAAAAGAGCAATGAGAGCGCTCCTGCCATCGCTCACGGTGCTTAGTTGTCCTCGCTACCATGATCCTAAAGTTTCTGAAGCTGCTGTTCAGTGTCGAGCGATCATACTCTCCAGAGGCTGCCAAGCGGTGCATTCTAAAGTCAAGTCTGATTCAGCAAGCCATTCGTCAGAAGCCACGCTCGCCGAAATTGCTTTGGATATATCGTCTCCTTTGCCCGCACTCCGAGCATTTGGTGTTGTTCGACTCGGCAAGCTCTGTAAGCACTACACTCTCAATCGGGACCGGGGGCATGTGCAAGAGATGAGTAGCAGGCTATCGAAGCCAATTCCCTGGTTGAAACTTGCGGATATTCTTCTCAAGGCGCTCGAGGACCAGGAGTCCTACGTGTACCTTGCTGCAGCACATGCTCTTGCCGCTGTGGCTGACACAAGTCCCAGGGAAGTGTTGCCCTGGTTCTTGCAGTCTTTTTGCTCTTTGAGTAACGACGTTATTAAGACGAGGCTAGGCGAAACCCTCATGATCACAATTCGCCGAAGAGGCGAGGCTGCACCTGCATATGCACAGATTGTTGGGGAGTCGCTCTGCTGTGGTGCCCGTCATGATCAGCCCGTCGCCACACGCATTGCGAATCTTTCCCTCCTGGGCGAACTTTGTGGCGTTGTTGGAATAAATGTCCATACCTTTGCTATCGACCTATGTAATTTAGTGTCCAGTATCCTCGTCTCCACGGATGTGACCGCTGATGTACGACGCGCCGCGTCTTATCTCGGTTACCGTGCCATAGCCGGCTGTGGCACAGCCCTAATTACGAATGTTCCAAGAGACTGTGCCACCATGTGCAAGCGCCTGCGCGTCCATGCTCTGAATTCTGCTGACGACGTCACAAGACTTCACGCAAATAACGCGTTGCTTGCCCTCGATGCTCTGCTTTCCGGCGTCCTCCGCGTCAAACAGAACGGCTCACTGGAAAAAGGAGAACTTCCTCCAATATATCGCGATGACTGGTTCCATGGTGGCTTCCCGCGCCTTCCCACATAACTGTTATCGAAGGCGTACAAAACCGTTTTGTTGCTTCAAACATGCTTCGTGTAAATGCTCATCTGTCGGGCAGGAGCAATTCATGCTGCAAGCCTGCCAAAACCTTGCCTCTCCTGAGCTAACAAAGATTAAGCGGGAGAGTCGGACGACCTAGTTGAAGGTTCGAATTCGGGCACCGCCAGTGGCGGAATCGAGCGAAAGTTGGCCTCTACAAATGTGAACTTTCGACCATCGATGATTAATTTGACCCAGCGATTTGACCCGGGCTTTGATTCGCCGGCGCTCGAGCTGGCCCGTCGACTTTTTGGGGGGGGTCTACTTCAAGTTGCAGTCGCCATGAGCGGCTAGGGACATGTCGATCCTATTCCTCCTATTAGGGAGGTTATTAATAGGGGGCGACACTGGAAGCCCGGGGTTTTGCCGTCGACAAGCCGAGCTCCGGGACTGCGCCTATCCCGAGGAGCCCGCGTAGGAACTCGAAAACGACTGTCGGTTCGTCCGGATCCGTCCGAATTGAGCGAAGTTGTGGTACTAGAAGAGCCTGAGTTCGCATTTTTCCGCGGAACGCGCGTCGGGGACGCGCGGGCGTTTCGAGGATGCTCCTGTGCTGCGGGTCCGCGAGGATGGCCTCCGGGAACTTGGCGTAGTGGGGGCGGTTCACGTAGGCGGCGACCGACGCCTCGAACTCGAGGTCACGGTCCTGGCGCCCGCCGGAGGCGCGGGACTTGCGAACGTAGAAGGCCTTGGGATAGTTCGCCTCGAGCCACGTGTGGTAGGCCTTGGCGCCCTTGCCCTCCCTCCGTGGACCTTCTGAGACCGCGCGAAGCTGTCGAGACGTCGACGCGGCGAATAGCAGCACGCTGGTGACCTGGTTGGATCAGGACCCAGCAAAATCTTTCTCTACCCGATTTTTGTTGCAGCACTTTTGATGCACTCTCGGACATAGGGCGACGCCCCATAGCCACTCGTTCAAAAATATCTCTGCTTTAAAAATCGCAAAGCTGTTCGGACACACTACGAAGTAAGCTCGTTCCAACTTCGTCCTTGAATGGTATTGACCCCCGGTCATCTACCTTTAGCTTAGTCTAGCCCGAGTCGCTGCCCCACCTAACCGTGTAGAATTTCTGCACCGGGCCCCCGGGTGGGGTCCAAAAGCGGGGCCCAAACTAGAAAGCGCCGTATTCCCGCGGGCTCCCGCCCCGGGGGGAATATCGCTGTATTGGCGAGTCAGAGCGTGTCCTCGGGGGCCCGGCCGTCGGCCAGGGCAACGGCGCCCATGCGAACTTACCCCATTGGTTTCTGCATGGGTGCTTGTCAGCGAGAATCTCGACCGCCGTGTAGCTTTGATCCGACGGCTAGCACCCGTGGGTCCGAGTAGCAAGTAGTATGAAATCATTGTGCGACATAACTGAATATTGGCTTGAACGGGATGATTGACAACGGCAAACTTGACTAGTTTTTTTAAGCTTACACAGAAGTTAGGCTTGCATCTTGCTCGCAAGGGCATGAATTTGTTCCCATCGCGCCTGCGTTGTAGCTTCAATCTCGATCTTCATCGCAGCGTCTTCTTCGGCACGCTCTTTGCAGGCGTTGTACGTCTTCATGTCGAAGTCTTGGTAGACTTTCAGTACGTTCGTTGCCTGAGCAGTTAAACATAATACTTCGGGCACATCCTGTTTGACGCGCTGACTAATACAAGACCCTCGACGGTGGCGTTCCAGTGTTTCTCGGATTTTTCGACCAAAGCTGTGTAAATGATCGGTAGCAAGGTTGGAGCATGCTGCTTGGAAAGGCAGCCGTGATTAATTAGTTGATCATTGTTCCACAGGAAGAGGGTACGTTCGGTGACCTATGGCAGTAAGTTATGACTTAAGTGGGGAGAGGCCAAAATTCACAACAGCAGAACTTCTGCCATTCCTAGGCTCTGATGTGAGCCTGGAAATGTTCAGAGGAGAGACATTTGCGAATCTAAGACATTAGTGACACATTATCTTTATGGAATACATACATATTGTACACGGGAGTCAGACAAGCTCAAACAGTGCGTTGCGAACGAGGAGCAGTGGCTCATGGCCAAGAAGCTCGAGGATCTCTTCAAGTTCGTTCATAACGAGCACTTGTTTTGCCGAAGATGACCAAGGCCAATATCGAATCAGACCATTTAAGATAGGAACTGCGGTATCTGGGTCTTTTTCAACAAATTGAATCACGCAATAGGAGAGTTGCTGATGATAAAGGGTGACACATTTGGGTATGTGGAGTGGAATCAGTGCACATTGTAGGAACTGCAGATGCTCGCGCTTTAGTGGGATCGCAAAGCCATTGATGATGGATCCTAGAATCTCGAGTAGCTCGCCGACACCATTGTGCCGCTCGGTCTCGTAAACAAAGCGATAAAACACATTCGATATCGTTTTTCGGATAAATGACCGGTGGCTCATAAACTTGCCATAGATTCGATGTAAAATTGTTTTTAGATAATCTCGTTCTCGAGGATCTTCGGAGTCGAAAAGTTCTATGAGACCTACTCACAAGCATCACAATTTATCACTTTGGCTTCAATAAACAGCGCAGTCACACGGTAGCAAAAGTTTGCATCGACATACTTCTTGGCAACTTTGGCATTGACTTCAGATGACACGACAAAGCGCAGAAAAAACTCGTAAACCACTTGCAAGTGCGGCCAGGAGGGTTCAAGCACCGGTTCATCTTCCTCGGGGTCGTAGTCTTCTGTTTGTGGAGGTAATGATCGACAAATGTTTGCACGCACGCAGTTCATAATTGCCTAGGAGAACAACTTTTCTAGCAACCGAGACGAGTTCAGGCCTGGCCGCAACTACGCGGCCAATATGACGGGCATTGATGGCTCCGTAAAAATCTTTTGACCAGCTGATGTATTCACATAATCAACAAGCTCAAGCAATGTCTGTCGTTTGACTTCCTTCTCTTTTTTCATCGATGTTGCCTGGCGAGATTTTGAAGGAAGTTCGTTCAATGGACTAAAGTAGGCACACGCGATTAAACCACTCACATCCTCAAAATTGAATACATAGGAACACAATTCAAGCTTTTGATCAAAAAGGGCTTCGCGCCTACGTGGACCAAAATATCAACGTTTCGACCTGCCTCAGAGCGTTTGTAAGAGTACAAATTTGGGACGATGACCAAGACTTTGCGGCCGGATAATCACGTAATTGCGGCAGCTCGTCCATCTCTTTGGGTGTAACTTGCTTTCCGGAGGAAACACCCTTTCGCACGGCGGGCACAGCTGGTGTGTTCCCCTGTGGACGTGTGGCTTGTGAGTCGTCGACTGTGACCTCTTTTTTCTTTTTAGCTCCTGTGCTGAAAAGGTTGACCATCCGAGCGCTGCTCATCCGCCGCTGATAAATATATATACTACTGGCGTAGCGGCCCGGATTCCTTGTCCTCAAGGCCGGCCACGATGCTCCGCGGCGAGCTCGGTGAGCGCCTCAACGCCGCGCAGAAGGTCGGGCGCGTCTGGTCGCTGTGGCTGGCCTCCCCGGTATGCGCGTGCTCCATGGCGAGCCGCGGGGACGTCAAAGTCTCGGTCGAGGCGTTCTTCGGCGCCGAGTACCCGGAGCTCTCCTTCGAGACTGAAGTCGGCTCCCTCTCGCTGCTCCGGCAGCTGCCCGGCCTCCTGCGCCGTGCGGCGGAGGAGTTCCCCGGCCGCGCCATCGACTACGGCGACAGCTACACCGTCATCGTCGACAAGAGCCACGCCTGCGTCCGGGAGACGTTCGGGAAGCACGCGCGCGTCGTCGACGGCCGCCGCCTCGAGACGCTCGAGGACAGCCGCGAGGAGCTCAAGGCGCTGAAGAAGGCCGGCAAGGAGGAGGAGCACGCGGCGAAGCGCGCCGACGACAAGCGGGCGAAGCGCAAGACGTCCGGCGGCACCGGCGGCACGGGCCAGGGCATCAAGCGACCGGCGATCCTCAAGGAGGCGCTCACCGAGATCCGCGCGCTGGCGCCGGTGATCTCCTTCAAGATCCTGCCCCTCATCATCGTGCTCGTGACCTACGCCATGACTAGAGAGACAGAGAGATTTCTACCTTCATCTTCAGTGAGCTGCATCTTGATGTTGCAGTGCACCTTACCCCACTGCGCTCCTACTGCGTATCCTGCTAGTTTTCCCTTCCCTTCCTTAATTCATTCTAATCCAGTTTCAAGTCTTATAGACAGCGATTCGGAACTGAAGGAGTGACTGCCAAGCAGGCTCAGCTCAACTAACCTACAGTACGAGCTACTTGAAAAACATCTCGGACAGGAAGAAGTCTCAAATGGCGTCTTTCAGTGGATGCAGAAAGCAACCATAGGTGCCGATGCCGTCGGCACCGACAAGGAGCTGGAAGGCCTCATGAATCAACTTCTAAGTCTTGACTATGACATTTTGACAGGTGGTTGCGTGTTGCATTGGGTAACCGCTCTGGAGCGAATGGTCAGTATTATGCAAGATAAGATGGGACCTGAATTTGAAAGAGAGAAACATATTGATATGCTGCACGCTAGGGCAATCAATTTCCACAAGAGACAATTCACAGCTCGAAATGTTACTACACTAATGACCCAAGCCTCCAGAGAATATGGTCAGTTAACTAAGCATAGTGGAATTTGACCTACTAGTATGCTCATTCCCGTAGGTAGCTTAGCCCAAGGAGCGGAATGTAGGCTCCCTAGGTAGCTGGCCTATCGCCAAGCGCACTTTGACTGTGCTTAATCACACTCGCGTTCTGACCTCGATAGTCGCCGTTTATCATGGTAGCAACGGGCGCGCGTGGGGCACCGGAGCACACGAACCGGCGCGCCTAGGGCGGCCCGAGCGGCGCCGCGCCGGCCCAAACACGTACTGGAACGGCCTCCCAGGAGTACCCCCGCCGGGAGCAACGTGCTTCCGGAACCGAAAGCGGGCCCTGTCCACACCCCAGGGACCCCATGGGCCCGACGGACGCAAAGGGGGGCCCAGTGGGGACGCTACAGAATTGATGCCAGGAACCCCGGGGGGTAGATCGCGAACGGAGCCACAAGTGAACTGGGCGAGACTGGCCGTTGGGCGCGACAATCTTCAGCCTGCCGTTTTTCAGAACCACCCTGCAATGCAGCCTCGAGCAGCCACGGAGCTCACCCCGCAGAGAGAGGGCCGGTGGGGTTTGAGTCACACAATAGGCCCTCCAACTGTGCGGTGTCATCTCGGACGTGCGAGAACATTGGTGTGGTTCTTGAGTTCATTGATGACCATTGCATTTTGGTGTGATGTGTACGGAAGTACAAGCTGATTTTGGACGATCTCAAGGAGCTCGTAGGCGCGAATGAATCCGCCACTGTCTGTGGGGGCTCTTTTAATAGTACTGACAGCTCTTCGCACCGCAATTACCTGCCTGGCGAGAGCAAACTGCTGTTGAGAGATCACATATTTTGACTGCTCGACTTGGATGGCCTTTTGCTTGATTAGGGCGAGATGCGTACACGCAAATCTCATCATTTGCTCCGCGCGCTGGGTGGCTCTGACGACTGCCTGGTCAGCCTCACTTGCCGCAGCCTCACGCTCGTCCAAATCTAATTTATCGAGCTTCACCACTGCCGCGGCTGCACGGGCGTCATTCTCCGCCTTGGTGGCTGCCTTTTCGCGCTGGGCGGCGCGATGTTCGAGACTATCAGCATCCCTGAATCGAGGTTCAAGTATGGAATACATAGCGCGGAATTCTGTGCGCTCCGCGTCCAGCTTTGAACGCTCCACATCCAACGTAGATCGGTCTCTCGCGATTGACGCTCTCTCCGAATCAAGCGCCAATTTCAAGCAAACTAGCCGTTCCTTTTCTACTCGATTTGCTTCTTCATCGATGCGGCGACAGGCGTTTAGATTCGCTCGACCCGCAGTAAGCTCCTGACTGTTCTGGTGCAAGATACGAAGACGCTCGTGCTCAAAACGTTTTTCTCGGGCATCATTGTCGTTTTGCATCGTGGATCTGCACCGCTCGACGTCAAGCTTTTCTCCCTCAAGCGCACGCCGCATCTCATGCAACCTGTTGTTCTCAAAGGCGAGCTTCCGGTTCTCAAAATCAGGCACCCTTGCCATATCCTCAATCAGACGATTCTCCTTGGCCTCGAACGCATCTCGCAATACTCCAACTTCAAGCTTCCGGCGCATTCTGTCGGTCTTACGAGCCTCTTCGCTGGCCCCGAGCTTAATCATTAGTTCCTTGATTGCAACTCCAGACTCGGCAGCAATCATCGAAGATCTTGCCTTGAGCTCTAAAATCTCTCCATCCCGCAGCACAGCTGACTTCTGAAGGTTCAAACGAACATCCTTTGCCTGATCCAGTGAAGCTGTGGCTTGTTTCAGACAGGCTTCTACGTCAGATAATTTCTGCCTGGTATTAGTCAATTTACACTCAGACATACTCGCACGTTGCTCTGAATTCTCCAGTTTTCGTTGGTGCTCTGCTCGGCGAGCATCTGCGCCTACAGGTATGCATGTATTCCCAACGCGCACGAACGAAGTTTCTCGCATTCAACACAGATCTGCACGCGTCCTTGCGGCGCGTTTCTCTTCCTGCATCGCGCGCACTTCTAGCCTTCTTTGTCTTTCTCTACTCAAGAGTTCTGCTTCGAGTTGTTCAAGTTTCCATTCAAGTTGAAGTCCAATTTGCACCAAGGCATTGGCGTTTGCATCATTTAGCTGCTTCGAAGCGTGGTTGCCCACCCGCCTCAAGGCACGAGAAATGTTCATGATTCCATGCCTAATCTCGGATACCTGGGCTGGCAAGGAGCTTTCTGATGCAAGCTTTCCGAGAAGCCCATCAATCTCAGTACTGGCTGGCTCTCGTGGGATAGTACTACCAATGCTCTGCCGACTTTTTGAGACAGACTGCTCAAAGTCATTGCTATATGCAGCATCGGATGCACCCGCATTCGAAATGTGCATATTAGATCCAATTTCGGTTACTTCCCGCAGTGTAAGGCTTGGTGCACCGTGAGCTTGGCTCCTCGAGGTAGCAGTTCCGCCCACACTATCTTCAAAGTCCTCGGCGTAAGAAGTACTATTTGCAAGAACACTATCAATTGGCCCATCGTCAAAGTCCTCACTGTATTCTCCATCACTTGGAATTTCAGGAGGCAAGTCATCGCCCGGTGCTAGTGAACCGCTCCCCGACTCCAGCCGGACTCCCTGCTGCTCAGAGAAGGTCACACTTCGCCTTAAGGAGGACTCCACACTATCTGCAGACGCCACAGATGAAACACTTTGTCCCAACAGCCGAACGCTCAACGATTTCGGCGTGCGGGACACAGCTGGTTGCTTCGTTTCCTGCGGAGAGGTGCTCACATTCAGGGACTCGCTTAGCTCGAAAGACCCCCGAGGCGAAGGCGATGTCTCTCCAGTCGCAGATAGATGCGGCCAAATCATATCATACGGGCTGAAGAAGTTTCAAAATTGCATTTACGGCAGTACAATATGTTTCCGTCCACTTGGCCTTACTGTCCGCGGCGGTCCCGATAGTCTCGGGCCTCGGGAGTCTCCTTTTTTCGTCGCAGGACCGGCGGTCCTGGCGGTCCTGGACCGCCGGTCCTGCGACGAGAAAAATCGAGGCCCGGGACCACCGCGGACCGCCCAGGACCGCGCCCAGGACCACGCCCAGGACTGCCACCTCCAGGACCGCGCGAACCGCCGCCGCGGCGGCGGTCCCCGCAGGACCGCCGCGGACCGCCCCAGGACCGCCCCAGGACCGCCCCAGGACCGCCACCTCCAGGACCGCCCGAACCGCCGCCGGCGGCGGTCCCCGGGCGGTCCCGCGGGGACCGGCCGGGGACCGGCCGCCGGACCGGCCGCCGAGGACCGCCGCGCTGCCGTGCCGGCGGTCCCGCGGAGCTCGTCCCGGCGGTCCCACGGCCGGTCCCTGGCCGGTCCCCGGGCGGTCCCCGGGCGGTCCCCAGAAACAGGACCGTCCTACCCCCCTACATTACTCTTTATGAGGCAGCCCCAAAACTAGAACGCGTCGAATTTCCCGCGTTCGACCCGCCGCCACCCCACGGACCCGCGCTGGGGCGCTTAATCGCGCGCTGAGGAGCCTGGGCAAGGCGTGAGCTCAGGGGGTTGGGTTTGTCGTATCCAGCGGTCGTACCCACCCTCTGAGAACTGTAGGAAACCCAGCAGCGGGGAACTCAGCGGCCGCCCTGGCCTTGCGCCGCCCAGTCAAGCGGCGGTGGCACCAATTTCATCAGAGTGCTTGCAACCGAGATACCTGATTGAATAGTACGCTTGAGGGGCCTCCTTGCATTCAACACCGCTGATGCGACCTGACACTAAAAGTGTCAGTAGTTTTTTCTTCAACGCAATACTTGACAACATATAAAGGGTCGGAGTCCTAAACCGGCCTTTCCCGCTGATGAACAAAGAAGCAAGGACGCGGGGTATTGTGCTCTCCCGAGCCATTGAAGAACTTGCCGTCCACGAGTTTCAATACCTGTCAGCTCAGAAATAATTCTGGTTTGTCATGACGGACGCTGCAGTTGTATCAGACATTGATGGGAAGTTTCACCTATTGGAGTTCTAGCTGATGAATCAACACGTCTCCGCTCTCTTTCTAGTTGCCACAACGCAATAAATTTGCAGCTTGCAGTATCATGGATGATGAGTTGCAGCTGCTTCAGGACTTGGACTATAAGCTTATCCACAGAGAAGACTTCATGAGCTTCAATTCCCAAGATACAGCGTGATCCATCTTCAAAACAAGAAGCATCTAATGAACCATCCATAAGTCCATATACCATAGAGACCAACACCTCAAAGGGCTTTTGGTGGGTCGGGGTGAAATCTAACTCGCTTCTGCAATCATCCATGAAGGATGAACGCGGAACCGAATCGTTAGTATGACACAATTCATACGCCATGCGA